ACACCTCAACGCACCCCTACGCAGATACACACATCGGCTACACTCTTAGATATAAGGGTTCCAAAACGGGTTCTTCCTGGAGGGCTGAGGTTCTACCCGGAACCCTTTGCTTCTGAAGAAGCCCCTTTTTCAAGAAAGGGGGTTTTCCAGGGTTCATTGTGAGACTACAGGGTTCCATTAAAGAAACCGTTTTCAACCAAAGAACCCTTTTTTGGGAAGACAGAGTTCTCCAAAGATTCTTGAAAGCTTTGCTGTTAAAAGAGAATGCCTGCAATCCAGAACCACACCCCCCAACAAACTGAATGTGAACCAGGATTGTTGGATGTGCGCTGCACCACATCAGCCCCAACCCTTTAGGGTTCTATATGAAAACATTGGAATATTAAAGGGTTCTCAGTAGGACCCTCTGGTCTGGTTCCAGATGAAACCCATGGAATATACAAGGGTTCTTGGTAGGGTCCCCTGGGTGGGTTCTAGATTATAACTTTGGGATATTCATGGGTTATCGGTAGAGTCCCCTAGTTGAGGTCTAGATGAAACCCTTGAAATATAAAAGGGTTATCGGTAGAACTCCATGGTTAGGTTCTAAATGAAACCCGTGAAATATACATAGAGCCCCCTGGGTGGGTTTCGATTAAATTCTTTGTATATACAAGGGTTCACGGTACAATCCCTGGGAATGGTTCTAGAGCAAACCCTTGGAATATTAAAAGGTTCTCTGTAGAACCCCCTTGGTGGGTTCTTGTTCGCACCCTTAGAAGGTGGAAATGTTCTGGATATAACTTCTAGAGTGAGTCCTGGGTGGAGCCATCACACCATGGAAGTGTTATCTTTAGAACATCTCATAGGGGGTTCTGGGTGGAACCTTTCACAGATGGTTCCAAGTGTAACCCTTTATGTTGGGTTCTAGGTAGAACCCAACATAAAGGGTTACAGGTGGAACTTTTATTGAAGGTTCTACCTTAAACCAAAATGGCTTCTCCTATGAGGTCAAGCCGGAGAACCCTGTGTGGTTCTAGTTAGCGCCATTATTTCTCAGAGTGTACTTTGCAGATCCTTGCAGGGTGAAGCGATCGGGTCCGGGGCCTTAAGTGGGTTGTGCAAGAATTTGCCCAAAGTGACAGATTTCACAATAAGGAACTTCTACTGTATTACAGGGAAGAATATTTTTTTGAAATACGGAAGCGAAAGAGTGTCTAAAATAAGGATGCTTCATCCTGTGCAGTACGTGTAAACATCTCATTTTATGACTGCTGCAGGAGGGTGTTTGCCTTAATGTGCGCGTTAACATGCCGTAAAGGGCGTTTTCCAAGGACGGTTCTGATTTGCTGTCTGGTCTCAAGTCAAAGCCAGAGCTCCCCATAGCCCGCCAGACTCAAGTCTAGCGGTTGAAATAGCAACAGAGGGCTCGGACTCCAAGGAAAATAGAGAGCCGGGCATAAAAACTACCAGCGAGTGTCCTTTGGAAGGTTGCCCCCATCCGCCACCCCCACCCTCGTCTCCAGCCTCTGCACTGAGTTCCCTCACATTATAAACAATGTCTTTCCCATGTAGCTTCGGGGAACATAAAAAAAAGAACAGAAGAAGAAGCAAAACAGTAGAGGCTCAATAAAAGGCGATGAAGATGAGAGGTGATGAACGATGCATTCGACTGGGAGATGCACAGAGAAGATGGGTAGAAAAGGTTAGCAACTTTAATAAAAAAAATGCTACTTGTGTCAGAAAGTATGTAAAAACAAATCTTGCACTCTGTATTTTAATGCACTGTTTTTGTTTCTTTCTTGCCTACGGACAAATACCATTTGGTTGAATAGCTCATGCCACTGCCATGAAAACAGTACGTTTATGTTGTTGGTGCAATTTCTTTCCTGCTTGATCAAAAAAAAAGAAAAAACAAGTGCATGCTATGATATATGGAGATGAAAACAAATATTGTGGTACTTATTGATCTCTTGTTAATCTTTTCTGTTGTGCTTCTTTTTTTTTTTTTTTGCCATGTGATGCAAAGCAGCATTTAGGGTTTTTTCTTCTTCTTCTTCCAAAAGCAGCGAGGAGGAGGAGGAGGAGGAGGGTGTATGGGGGAGAGGAGAGAAGCCTCTGGGAGTGTAGAGCCGAGAGCTGTTTATCCTCCGTATGGGGGGAGCGATAGAGGTGAGGAGGGAGAGGAAAAACAGCCTGTATAGAGCTGGACGAGCATCACTGCAAATGGACACGGACCCCAAAGGACCCTCCCCCATTCTCACATGTGTGTGCACACACAGAGCAACATTAAGACGTGTGTTTCCAGTTTGAAGGGGGATGAAGCACACTTGGTCAACCTTTGCATACACTCCCTCCCTCCACCCAGCTGTGTTAATCCTCCAATAACCGTCACTGACCTCTCTTTTCTCCCCCTCGCCCGTGCAGAGGAGGGGCCTTTGATGTCCAGTTCTGAGGGACTCAGGGAGTGATATGAGAGGGTGGGGGGAGGGGGTTAGAGGGCGGGGGGTCAGGCCAACCTCAGTCTGGTATCAACAATGCACCAACAGCTCAACTACTGTCTGATATGAGAAATGGCCAACAGCTGAGATGCTCAACGAGCTCTGTTGAGGCTTCCCTTTGACTAGTTTCGTTGTTGCTCTGGCTGTCACTTTACGTGTCACATTTTCTTTTTCCTGAGAGAAAGCACTGATCTGATATATATATATATATTTTTTTTTGTCTGTAACACTGTTACAGTTACACACTGAATCGAGACGGATGTTCACTGCACAAACAAATACAGTATGATGATGTAAATGTGTAAAATACTCTGTTGCTGTTCTGATGTTGTTCCAATGTAACATACAGTATATTTGTTGAAGAAAAAAAAAAGAAAGAAAAGATGGTTATCACAGACACGTTGTGTACTTTGTGGATGCTTTCCATGCGGATACAGATGCTGTTTGTTAATTGTCTTCTTAATTATGGGCCAATACTGCTGTGACAGCTGTAGCCAATGTTGTCTGTTCTTAAAGCACAGGGTTTAGTTTAAAAATAATGAATATAATAAAGTATAGGTGTGACAGTGCAGATATGCAAAAGATTGTAATGTTTTATATTAACCTTCATAAAATATTAAAGTGAGTTTTTACTTTTCTAATAAAGTGGCACATTATAATGTGTGTTGGTGTTTGTCTTATTGCAAAGGTGTCAGAGGGATTAGCAGCTTGCAATAGATGCAGCTTGCACATGTCAGGTTTTTAAGAACAAAGGATGAGAGAGCCTGCAGGCCGCAGGTACTCTTCTGCTGCGAGCTTCTTACTGTGCACGCGCATCAGAAGAATGAGCTTGATCCGGTTCAACCTAAAAACAATATTTAATGTACTACACAAAGTTCACTTACAAACTGAATTAACTATCAATAGTAATGTTCTCGAGAGCAGAGACCACATACACGCATCTCCTCACAGTCCGGCGCGGCCAGTTAGCTGAAAATGAGAGCTGCAGTGATCTGAGGTAAACTCCCTAAAACATTGTCTTTTGTATCCCCTGAGAGTCAGAAAGTGTCCGATACTGTCATAAAACGTGTGAATGACCCTCAGTGGCGATTAGTGATTGGCTTCATTTGAATCCTGTCCCCTCCCATTATCGATCCCTGAGCAAAACATCTTGGACTCCTCCTCTCTGTCCTGCTGGTCAGCTTGGCATTTGACCGTCCCTCTGTCAAAACTATTCTTAGTGTTTTAATACCTACAGTGACTATACTTCTATGATTTAATACATTCAATGAGTTAATATACTGTAACATATAATATTCTCTATAAGCAAGAATATTGTAAACCTATAATACATTCCATATGGAAACATTGTGACTAACATATTTATTATTGTAACACTTCTACTCACCACTAGGGGTGTTATTAAATCCTACTAATAATGCGTTTAATACTGAAATTCTCCACACACAAAGAAAATGTGCTTGTGGAAAATTGAGCAATAAACCAGAAGTGTCTGCGCTACGGCGGGTAGTTTAGAATAGATTAGATAAAGAGGCATTCAAGTGCCTCCAGCCACTGAAATACAAATAAAACAAAGGTTATTAATAACAGTTCTAATGACAGTACAGGCCTATGATAACAGCATGTTTATGAGCTGCACATTTCCAACAAGTTCTAGGTGAAGAACGTTGTTGGAAAAAAAGATAGACATGTTTACAGTTTAGTAAATAAAAAAAAATACAGTATGAATACACCAGTTAGTGTATTTTGTACACAAGAACACCACGAAAATAATAATACAAAAAACAATGCAAAGCTGTAGGAATGCAGTGTTTCTATTATTTTGTCCACCTTGAAATGCAAACAAGTCAGTCTCATAAAACTGAACATTGCATTGTAATCATCTGCATTTACTGCAGGACTATTTTCTTGGATTGCATTATTTTTGCTGCATGGTGTCCACAAAACTATTCTATTAACTTTACGTTGTAACAACATGAATACTTTTGCATTTGTCGACAAAAATAAAGTGGGTTTGTAACTTGTAGGAGGAGGAAACAATCCGCTGGTAAAGTACTTTAAAACATGATCCGTTAAATCATCTTTGGTTTGCAAAAAAAAGAAAAAAAAGTAAATGCGCCGTTTGCTTCTGGAGCCTGCAGGCTGTTTTTTGTCTTCTGCTCTCCCTCCTCCCTCCTCCCTCCTCCCCTCCTCGCTCCCTCCCCTCCTCCCTCCTCGCTCCCTCCCCTCCTCGCTCCCTCCCTCGCTCGCCTCGCCTCGCAGACCGGCTCGTCAACAGCAGACACCGGCCGGTAAACTGCACGACACGCCCCCTCCTCCCCGCCCACATTAGGGGGGAAAAACCATGATTGACACAATCAAACTAGCCAATCAGAGGCCGCCTCGCGGTGGAAGCGTGCCAAAGTGTAATGTTTATGTACGTAGCCGACCAATAGGAGCAGAGCAGAGGAGGCGTGGCACCCTTTTTGGAGGAAAGAGGCAAAACAACATTTTACCACCCCCCCCCCCCCACCCCCTGACCGGGCGGCTTTTTGGATATCCTGGGTGGGTGGTGGTGGCAAAACTTAGACTAGAACAGGAGTTAAAGACACTCGCGACAAAATCCCGATAAATGTCTCTAACTCCAGACATTTGCGCTAAAACCATCTATAGAAAGCTGGTTTTCTTTCTTTAGTTCTGTCTGCAAAGAAATGGATTCCACATATATTGTGGAGCAGCAGCAGCAGCAGCAGCAGCCGTCGAGGGTCGTAGGTGCTGCGGAGTTCAGCTGCCGGACGGGCCGCTCCGTGCTCCGCGACATCCGGGTCCCCGCGGTGCAGAGCAACGGTCCCGTGCACATGTACACAAACGGGCCCGTCTTCTACAAATGCCGAATGGACGACGGGGGCTCCGCGGCGGAGGTTCGAGGCGAGAGAACCTCTCTGCGAGGCAACGGACTGGCTCCGGGGGGTCGAATCGTATTTCACGACGTGGAGAAAGTAAGTACCGTTTATCCGAGTCTTTTAAATGTATTTATTATTTTAAACACGACTCCATAAGCCGGTAAAGTGAACTGTACACCCAAGTTTATTATATATAAATATGTTAAATATATATAATTATATTAAATATAAATACATAATAATCTTTCACGACGTGGACAAAGTAAGTACCGTCTATCCGTGTTTTTTTATTTACTTATTATTTTTTTAAAGTGTTTACACTCGACTCCATTAGCCGGTAAAGTGAACTGTACACACACGTTTAAACGTAGATAACATCGAGCAAAGCGACGTAATGTCATATAACGTTTTGACAGCTCTCACGCGCCCGTTATTGCTCTTAAACCACTTTGTTGTTTAAAAAAAAAAAAAAAAAGTGATTTCACCAACTGCTGTCATCGAATAACGTGTTATCTAAACCGCTTTAAATGGCGGCTCATTCTGTGTGCAAAGTTTACAGAAAACAAACTACTGGCCATACCTCTTCCTCCTCCTCTTCCTCCTCCTCCGCCTCCTCCTCCCATAACCGTAGGGTGGAGCCACGGTGAGGGCTTCACCCGCTGCCGAACTAGTAATAACACTTTTTAGTACACATGTGACATGTTGTCAGGTCTTTTTATACAGTAGGGACTTTTTTTTTTGCATGAGGTTTTAACTTAAATTGTATGTTTTTTTTGCATTGCATTTCGCTGGAGTGTGTTTTCTACTTGCAGGGTCAATGAACACTTGACATTAAACATGACCCTGCAACATGAAATATGTCAGTTAATAATTGACCCTGCAACATGAAATATGTCAGTTAATAATTGACCCTGCAACATGAAATATGCACAGGTGGCAAATTGTCACACCTGCTGTTGATATGGATTAGAAAACAGTTTATTCAAATAATAATTAGTGAATGTCAGGGTGATAATGACACAGTTGGGTAAAAACATATATTAAAAGTTTTGTAAATGAACATTTCAATTAATGTTTTTTTTTTTTTTTTAGAGCTGCAAAGATTAGTTGAATGATCAATAAAAGTTGATGTTATAATTCGTAATAGTAATTTATCGTCTTTCACTGGACTCATATCGTGATGAACTACTTTATATATTTTATAATAACTTCCATTTCTCCCAAAAATCTGATGTGGAATATTTTGAGGGAATCCTAAAATCTTTATTTAAATATTTATAATTTCACTTGAAGCTTGTTTGTGTTTATTTTGAACTAAAGTTTCTTCATAAAATAATAATTTGTCAAGTATTTCATTCAAACAGGAGTGCGCAACAATAGGCTGTATACCATGTGGTTATTAAATTTAGATTATTTATTTATGGTATTACCAGAAAACATGCTGTTTTATATCCACTGTGCTGTGTTTTTACTTATTTATTAAACCTTTACTGTGTGATTACGTATTTATTATATTTGTTGTGATCTTGTTTTTCTACTTATGTCTCTTGTTTGTTTGTTTGCACTATCCACTTCCCCGCTGTGGGACTAATAAAGTATTATCTTATCTCATATCATATATATTGTTATTGAGATATGAATTTACCTTTATCGTGATGGAACATTTTGACCATATCGCCCAGTCAAATATGACGTAAATATGAACATCTTTAGCTTTTTAACTGTTCGGTCGGAAAAATAAAACAAGCAAAGAAATCAACACCATTTATATTATTAAAATTTTTTTTCCAACATTTTATAGACTCAAAACTTGCCGATTATGTATAAAACAGCTGGCAGAGTAATTGCTTATTTTTAGGATCATGTTTTGCATTTAAGCCAATTTTTACCTTTTCAGTTGGGATATAAGAAAGTTCACATACAGAGAAAGTCAGCTGGTCAAGATGGGAGATGGTTGTCATCAGCTGTTTACAGCATTACACTTACTGACAAATAGTTGAACCCCAAAAAACACTTCCATGCAAATTAACTCACTTCAAGATTTCTGTGATTAATCAAATTATAAATTAAAAAGAGTTGCGCAAACTCGTCTAATTCTCCAAGAGAAGATCACATAAAGCATCTGATGTATGAATTCTGACAGTCACGTGTGACTCGTTTTGTTCCAGACTGGCCTCGGGGACCACCGAGACGCGGGTTCCTCTGGGATCTTGAAGAGGACCAGTCCGACTCACTGCCCGGGCGTGAACGGGCGGACGCCAGGCGGCTTCATGCACTTGGACATCAGGAACCCAGGGAAACAGGCAGAGCTGGCCCACAACTTCAGGGCGCCACAGGGGCGGATCGTACCACCGACGGATCGCACCATCCCTTCCTCCCACATCCCCGTCCCCAGAAACAGGTACGGAGATGCTCCACACTCACACACCCCCTCCCCTGTATTTAGTTTCATCCACAGACCTATTTAAGTTTCTACTCGGTGCAATGTAGGAGCTAATTTGACTCAGAATCTGTGGTGGACAGACGTGTTCCTGAACTAGAATAGAAGTGGAGCTCAGCCTCTGGCTACAAACCGTACGGCGGTTTTGGGCAACGAATGGCGCGGGGGGGGCGTGAGCGGTCGACTGACCACATGTTTGGTGTTCCCTCCAGAAGAGTTTCGAAATGTGCCCCCGAAGAGAGCCAGAGCTGGAGAAGAGGGCCAGGATTGCCCAATCGCTGGAGACGAGGAGAATAAAGAGGGAGAAAGAAATTAGATAGTTCCAGTGTGTCGGTGTTGTTTACTGCTAAATGTAAACAGCATATTCCTTTTGGATGATCTAAATTATGCCTTATTCCAAATGAAGCATTTTCAGATTAAAACACGTGGGATGTGCCGATATTATTCAGGTTTTTTAAAAGCCTTCGTTGGACGTGTTTACAGCAGGAATTTGAGTCAACTGGGGTTTTTCCACACTTTCCTGTTTACGGCCAGCTCTGTGCGTTGTGCTTAAAAACCAACGAGGCAATAGTTTGCAGAGATGCATGAACAAAAGAAAAGCCCACATTTCTGGTCAGAAGAAGAAACACACCTACTTTTAAACATTATGAAGGACTTGGATATCGACAGGTTTTTTATTTTAATATGTGCATATAGTGCAGTGCTGACCTCATCAAGGAGGTATTTGAAGGAATGAAAGAGGGAGCCTGTGTTTGCTCCAACAAGTCTTCCACTGGTTACGTTAATCTGAATATGCGCGGTTGCATCTAAACAGGGATATTAGTGGAATATTAATTTTCATTAGCCATGTAAACAGATTGTCTTTTTCATATTTGTGCATGTAAATATCTTGCTTGACTGCCTCTAAGCCCCGTAATATCCCGGTGGACCCTCCTTTGACATGCCATGCTAGTGGATGCATCAGTGTGATGTGCTCACTGTGTGTCAGGCAGGAAGCTGTGTGTGCTACTGTGTGCTTTCTTTTATGTTTCATGTGCAATGCAGTGAGTTTTTTGGCTCCCATTGTTTTGCATATTTGTGCTCAGGAAAGTCTTAGTTAAGTCTTTAAGCAGAAAGACACGCTCAAACAGACACAGAAGAAGCAGAACATGCATCCAGGGAGGAGTCTGCAGCACAGCTCCCCTCCTTCTACACATGCTGCTGGTTACTGTCTGTGTCGACACGCTGCCTGTCTGCTTACACGTTCACACAATGCCCGGTGGCAGTACAGCAAAGCCTGAAAACTGAGCAGCTCTTCTCCTAACCTGCCATAGGAAACTATTTTTGCACAGATTGTTGGTCAACACAACAGGATTTCAGCGTGTTTGATTGTAGGCGTGGTGCGTTGCGGGTCGAGGGGGTGTGAACGCCACACTTCTTTCCGTCCTTCATCATCACGTGAACTTCATCATCACGTCAACTTCCCGTGCCGCTGGTCATGTATGACAAGAGGAGAGTGTCTCTGGGGAAACACACAAGACTGAGCATGCTTTATTAGTGACAAAACCGGGCCGCTGCTCTCGATCCGAGTTCCTGAAAAACGTCTCTCTTCCACAACGTGTTGAAGGCTGCCACCACAATAACAAGCTCTGAGTTGACACTACACAGAAAGAGGTTGCATAACATTATGTAACCGTGTGGTCATATTAGCCGAGCCTCTGTTCGTGTTGACCTTTCTGATTAACTGCCCCCGTTGTCTTCATCCTGCTCAAATCAGGCTCTCCGCTCGTCTCTTTGCCATGACTCACATTTTCATTTAAGCCATTTAAATATTTAGTCTACTTGTGACTGAATGCTTGCTGAAGTTATAATATTGTTATATATATATAAAAAATTAAATACTAAAAATACATAAATGTTCATTATACTCGGCTTAGCGGCTTCCAAATTCACATTTCATGACAAAAGAGGATTTATAATAAAAATGATAAAATAATCAAAAACAAAGGAACAAAATAAGAAAGGGGAGGGGCTAAAGGTTTGGCTACTGTTGTGAGGAATTCAAGCATGTTCAATAGCACCCCTAGTGGTGGATATTAAAGGTCACAATATGTTTATTTATAGAAGTATAAAAGTATAGTCATTGGATGTATTGAACGATGAAGAGGACAGAGAGGGATTTTGAGTGGGGCTTTTCAGAGACGACCATATGAATGCGTGGAGTGTGCTGCTTTACGGAAGGAGAGGGGGCTGGACCAGAAAAATGGGTCAAAGGCCAGGAGGAGCTTATTGGATTTCAGCCAATCATTGAGCTGATCGATGTGTAATATGAGACATTTCAGAGGACTTCAGATCTTCTGGGGGCCATCGGCGACACACCAGTCGGCCGGATGGCCCGGATTGGGCCTCTGTTTCGTGGAACATATTGTTATTAATAGTGTGATTCGGTTTGTAGCTGTTCTTGTGTTTGTGGGATAATAAATCCATTTGATTTTAACTCCAACCAGCTGTTTTGTTTTGGAAACGGACGCCAAGCACATGGCTGCAGTGAGGGGGTGGGCGGCTTCTCTCCGTGTTCAAAAGTTACCGCCCTAACACTGTACACATCTCTATATAAATATATATATAAACAGTAACTCAGAGTGAGCACTTTCACAGTTACATAGTTTCACTTCCTCTCTTTTTTTCTTTCAAGTAATGTCTTCAATGGCAACATTGTGTCACTGTCAACAGAACCCTTTATTTTCCTTCTCTCCCCAGTATCGTGTAACAGGATTAAAGATGTTTAAAGACACCTGAGCCATAAATCTGTCGCTCACCCTCCGTGTGTATTACGTCGCTCACTATATCAGTGACTTATTGTTTCTCACACATACACACACAGTGCTATTCACACCTCGCCTTGTCAGTTTGCGAATGCTTGAAAGTAGGTCACTGTCCTTCTGACAAGCCCGGGCAGAGACCTGAAGTAGGCGTAACCAATCGACGGCTGCAGGCATGAGGGGTTGTTTTGTGTACACACCAAACCCCCGGAAGTTACCATTGAACTGGTTCCCTCCACAAAAAGAGCCAATGGGAGTGGATTTTGGATTATTGCAGAAACTGAGCTCTGTGGCCAACACTCGTTTATGATACTTGCACTTTTTATTCAGCAGGATAATCTTCACAAATGGACCTGTGAAGGACTACAGGATTCGATATATAGTTTGTCTATATAAAATATACTCATGGTAATGCCTATATTTGTGGATCAAATGAGAAAGTACTCAGTACTTTCTCATTTAATAAAAAAACAGCTTCAAGTGAAATTAAAGAGAAAAATTATATTTCCAGCTGAACTATTTTGACATGTATGCACATAAATACATAGTAGTACGATTAACACTATACATCACATACATAACACGATACATTCATATCAGACTTTTTAAGAAATTAAAGTTTAATTAAAGTTTAGATTAGGTTGAGTTTGAATGTGCATGATTTAAAGTCCTTTAAAGCTACACTGCACATTTAAACACCCCCACCCTCCGTCTCAACCTTGCCTCTCCTTGTGTGTGACTCTCTCTCCCTCCCTCCCTCCCTCTCTCTCTTTCTTTTCCTCGTTCTGTCTCTGATTAATTAAGTCTCTCTTGCACTCTCACCCTGAAGCTGTCAATACTCATCAGCGCACTGATAAGGTAACAAAGAGCAGCCAAACAGAAGAGAAGGGAGGGCGCTGTGTTGTTTTGATGTGAAAAGCTTTTTCTTCCTTATCTGTCCTTGGTCAGGTACACTGTCACCACAGTAGAGTAACATGAATAGAAAACACTGAGTGTGCATAAACAAGACACCAGAGCAACCAACTGGAGTGAGGGGGGGTGGGGCTCTGTTTTTAACATAATTACAGCCTTTGACTGCTTAGAGTCACCAGGAGGGGTTAGGCAGGCAGGCTGGAGGAGCAGAGACCCCCCCCCCCCCCCCCAAAGGGGACCCTCGTACCTGTTATGGGGGGACGGGGCCCCCCCCCCCCCCCCAATCCAGTCTGGGATGTCTGACCCACATCCACACTGCTGACGTGGCACCTCAAGTGGAGCGGGCCCACTTCTTCTCTGACGCTTTTAATATTTCCATATAAAAACAACGTGTTTTTAGCATGTTAGCATCATCAAAAACAAATTCCCTCTGAGTTTGATGCAGTAGTGTCGTCCTGTCCTTGTTTTTTTCTCCCTTTCCAGACCATAAGAGGTCAAATATTTTTGCGCTGACACGGGCAACTGGTGGGGGGTGAAAGGTCATCCTCAATGAATGCAGTCATGTGAGCGAGGAGGGTCCGATCGGGACGTGAGCAGACATCTGGCACAGGTCAGCCTCAGGTTGTGGGGTATGTGCTGCGTGGACAATTTACAACCGCAGAAGGTGGTGTCAGACAACTCGTCATCCCACTGCAGCTTTAAGGTCTCCTGACTCAGAGGTGTGTGTGAAGGAGTGAGGATCTGTCAGAGGAAGACATCTTTTAAGATCATGTGAACAAGAGAGTTTCATAGACGAGGAGAGAAGGAGGCGCAGAGGAATGTTTTTTCCTGCAAAACAGCCTGTTGCAAAAGTTACGTTACGCTAGAAGTGGCTCCTTCATATCCCGCTGCGTGTCACATTATGAATCCTCCGATACGTCCTCGTGTCTAATAGGTTGTACACTGTACATCGGTTCTTTGGTGAGATGCTTTAGGGACGGGGAGAGAGGAAGGAAACTGTTGCTGCACAGCTCTGGCACCGCTGCAGTAAAATGTACTGATAGACACTTGCAACAGGCCTCCTGTTCTGCCTCAGTAGCATTTGGAAACACCACAGTCAACCGTCTTTCCTCTCCCTTCAATCCATCTCTCTGTTCCTTCTACCCGACTCTTCATACCAGCTGGGCAGCTGCTCCCCCATCTGTCCACCGGCCTCCCCCCCCCCCCCCACCTCTCGTCTCTCATCGTATAACCTCCCACTGCATTTCT